ATTTTCTTTTGAAACTAGTTTCTTCATAACGCTTTTGCATCCTTTCAATAGTTAAAATATTATTAGTTGTGAGCTTTGCTTTAACGTTCCGTTTAGTTTTTTTTCGGCCTTAAGTTCACCGCACCGTTTTTTGCAGCTAATTGCACGGTAATTTGTTTTTTTTTTCACTCCGTTAATTTTCTAAAGGTAAGCATTCTGTTCATTTTAAAGACAGGGGCAGGGGAGGATTATTTCGCTTTTCCAGAATGTTGTTGTGTGCTTTAGTTTTTGCTGTCAGATTAATTAACACGTGACCACCGCCATTTGCCCGTGTGTGCTTAAGTTTGCTTTTAGATTTTTTCGTCAGTGGCCGCAATTAATTGCTGGACTGCCGAATCCTGGAGTACCGGTCCTCCAACTCCGAGGCAACCGATATCGCAATCACCGCACCGTACCTTGACCCGAGGCAAGGTCGTTTCCGCCACCCTCTGGTGGCGCTTGAGTCTGTCCGTCAAACCAACACCGTTTGCACCAAATTGTTTAGTTTTTTAATAATCCCAAGTATTAGTTTTTTTTAATTTTTTTGCTTTAATTAAATTTCATTTTTTAATATTTCGTCTAATTTTTAGTGCATTTTTTAAGAATTAAAAAAAAATGCTATTGTTTGCGCTTTGTTCGTCCGTCCGTCCGGACCCATTTCTACCGTTTTAAACTACTGCTAGGGGAATGGTCCTAGAGTCCTGGAATTTTTTGCAGTAGGTAGCCTATACCTTGAAGGTGTGCCAGACGGCCATTAAATTTCGCTGTCTAAAAGGGGGGCCCCCACGAATTATTTCCTGAGATGCTGTTTTTGAAAGTAAAACGTGCATAACTTTTACATACGACAACCAATTGGTCTCAAATTTTGCATACGCATGCCTTTAGTGGTGTCCAAGGAAGGGAGATTGTGACGTTTGGAAGAAATACAACCATTGGGCATTTAAATAAAATTTGATACATTGCCAGTTGGAATAAAACCAAATTTAACACCAGTTTCAAAATTTGGTTTTGCGCATGCGCAGTGCAAACTTTCTTATTTATGGAAGAAATTTCGTAGGAGTGTTTTAAAAAAATGCGCTTTACCTGCACAAGGGTTGTGCACAATTTGTACTTGTTCTTATTATTTCAAAGCATCCGTTTGTGACGAACTTCCCCACAAAGTTCGTAGCACAACGCTACATGATGCAGACCGAACAAACAAACAGAAGGCTGGAATGATCGGTTTTCTCATCTCATTAATCAAAAACATCCCACAATATGGAAATTCATAATAAAATTACCTTCGGACCCAACAAAAATTGATCAACATCGATTAGAAAAATCAGCTATTAGTTTGTTCCCAAGGATTTCTTTTACTTGCTGAGTGGTAACAAGTATGTTAAACAACTGCATGGAATTTTCCGAACGGAATCCCTTAGCTTCTCACACTATGGCGCACAACTACGACGTCACGGACTCCTCATGGGGGGATTCAGATTCTCCAAACAAAAGAGCCCATAGAACGTGCTAACGGGAACTGTCCATTTCTAATCATTTAAGCTAGGGAAAATGAAAACGAAATTTGACATTTTCAGTTTTTCAGTGATATCTCAGTTATTTTCAAAAATGTCATAAGCGTTTTTTTTAATCATAAAAAGGGACCCATTTCACCTACACTGTATCTCTCACCGTTACGGAGATCCCAATGGTGAGCCATGAATTTGAAACACCCTGTACATAATGGAACTAGGAAAATTACTTGGAAGGCGTACGCCCCATCGTCAATTCTGCTATATAAAACTTTATTTGTTGTAAATGAAACATATTGTTACTCCGTAGCATTATTTTAAAAGCTTATGTTAGTTTGTTATGGTGTTTGATATGCACAAGATACCTTTGACTTATTTCATGCCCAAAGAAACTTTGTACACTAATAGCCCAAGATACATAAGAGAAAGGGATCGACATGTCCTATATACCTACTACTTGCCTAAGTCCTTATTGTTTATGATTATTTGTTATTGCAATGGTTATTTGCTGTTGGTGCCACTTGTTTTGCACAAAAAACGAGTTCGAAAAAAAACTAACGCCGCGTTATTAGTATTTTACCGAAATACTTAAATACCACCGAACTATAATTAAACTGGACGACGCGCTCCTTCGGCCAGCGCGATCCGAGAGAGAGGGCCACAAGGGGGATCTCTGTCCTACTCTCGCGCATACATAGGGCAGCCTATTTGATATGTTTTGAATTTATATTAATGATCAGTTTCCCAATGAGTGACAGTGACAGAAATCCCCCTTGCACTATCTCTCTTAAAAGGTTTATTTTGGAACATTGGAACTGTTTATGTTTTGTACATGGGTATGAAATTACGATGTTCGTTTATGCAGAAAAGACAACGGTGTCGCATCAAGTGACCGTTCTCGGTCGCGATCGGTAGGTTAAGGAAAAGTCACGGATACTGTCGATACGGTACTTACTTAAAATCGGTTTGTTAATAATTCCAGTCTAGATTTTCTCATACCGGGCGGTACTGAATTTACATGCGCACAATTTGTCCACAATTAAGTTTAAGGTCGATTCGCATATTATGGACCGGCAACGTCACGTAAATCTTGCTGCCAATTCACACTTTACGTCAATAGTTTCTTAGGTTGGTTGCGATTGGATTTTTTATGCTGGACCATCTGTTCTTATCATACCCAGATTAAATAGAAGAAAATTAGCATTAGCGTCACGTCAAAGACATATTTGAAACTTATCTCGACGGTTCGTGACGGTGACGGTGCGTTCCGTTACGTCTCTATGTGAACGTTCCGTAAAATGCAAAATGCGCCGACATTCCATTTCAATGCAAAATTTAACCGAGTACTGTAAACAAACTAAATGACAACTCATGCTCAAACTTCTAAGACACTGATAAAAAAATGTCCTGTTAAAACATTCCATACATTTATTTAATTACATCTGTGATACTGCAGGATTTGATTATCTATTTACACAAAAATTAAATCAAGATTGTCTTGAAAATTGCATAAATCTGACGGCGATTCAGTTTTATAGAACATTTAGAAGTTTACAGTGTGTAAATTTACTTAACTCAGGTACAGGAAACTGTGAAGCCGATAGAGATCAACTGCTTTAAAAGTTGTCAAGACAATTCTGCACCTGAGATACAGGTACTGTCTAAACTAGTCTAAAGAAATCGGTAAAATTAATTGTTCTCAAAATGAGTCATTGCAAAAAAAATTATTAGATACGTGTGTCTTTTATACAAAGCACTCCTAGTTCAAGCGCTGAGAAGACGCTTTGGAGAATTACAAAATATGTTCCTTCAACGAGGTCCCAAAGTTGAGCCATATACTGGCTACATTTGAAAATAAGACTTATCCAGCTTGAATTTTGCAGCTTTACCAGGGAAAAGAAATGTGATTTGTTTTTCTGGAAGCACTAATATGTTATCAGACAACTGGTATAGAAATTAGAACGAAGCTCGGGAGGAAATGAGAGTGATCAAAACTACAGCGGCTATTATTCGACGAGAGATCAAGTCGAAAAACTATTGTCAGTTTCCAACAATTAAAGAAATTTGTTGAAAGTTGAACCGGTACCTGAAGTGCTCAATGTCTTGATCTCTGAAATCATACAGCTTACTTTTAATATACAAACACCGGAGAATCATCAAAGGACGAAACAAATTACTGAAAGGAAAAAAACACAATATGTCACAGCATTCACTAAAAACACTAGTGTTTACTCAATAGTCACAGTATAATGAGCGCCACACATCCAAGATTATTTTTGCGATGCATGTATTTTGTATGCATGTTTGTTAGGTATATTTTAGGAAAAAACATCCTTTTGCTACTTAACCATGAATTGTACGCCCTCTAACGGGAAACCTAGATACTTGAACCTAATTTCCAGCGATATCTCTTGGTCTCTTGTTAACAAAATGTTTTTCCGTAAGTTGTGCAATTAACTGTTCCATAGATACGGCATGTGACCTTTATTAATAGGACAACCTTTACATAGAGTGGCTAATAAGATGGAACCAAAGCTCTGTTGTCAAAGCGGTTTGATATAGCATAACAAGTGTTTATGGTGACATAACATCGAAATCGAAAACGCTGAAATTGATTTGGTACAAAAAATAGATACACTGTACACTCGTAACTTCAAAAATAAGCTGAAAGTTAGTGTTCAAACAATCTGCTTCTCGCGTGCGCTATTCCTGTATCATTCTTAGCTAATTGCTGTACAGAGGACCTCGACTTGTTTGATCACCACCGCGATCGTTAAAATGTATCGAATCATTAATAGGTCAGAGAATCAGAAACTCATCATCAATAAGGTACTATTATTAGAATGAAGTTGAATAATTATTAATTAATAATTACTAAAAATGTTTATTATAAGGAATACCGCTTTACTTGAAAACTAATGTGGCAAATAAGTCTTAAAATATTTTGTAGATTGATTTTTTAAATTATTGGTCTCTATTTTAAGTAGGTGGGGTTTTAGCCAAAGCTGTGTTCTACCAACCTAACCCGCTATACATTCACAAAATATCCATAAAGCCAAGTTTATGTCCCATCCAGGAGCGGAACATTGACTGATGGACGGTACGAAGTTCGCCGAGTCTGCTAGTTCAGAATATAAACAATCCACCCTAAACATATAAAGTGAGTATAAAACTATGAACATCACAAACATAAAATAACAACAGCCGAAATTTTAAAATAAGATAGTATACAGGCTGATTCAAATTCGAGGGCAACCATGGAGATCTCGGGAACTGTGAGAGACAGGTAGGTAATTTAAATTTGGCAATGCTGCGTATTTTGATGCTTAACAAAATGCAGTGTATGAAACTTACAAAATTTCGAGTACTTCC